CTTACTCTGAAAACCAACCACACGGGTAAGTACCACACTTACACCTAGTACAAACCACACAAGTAAGTAACGCACATACTCTTACTACAAACTACACATGTTAAAGTTACAAAGTTACTCTTTGTACCAACCATACATGTTAAAGTTACGCATTTACTTTTAGTACCAAACACACGGATAAGTAACGCACTTACTCATAGTACCAAGCACATGCCTAACTACCGCACTTACTATTGGTACACACTTAGTTTTTGTACCAACCACATGAGTAAGTAATGCACTTACCAAGCACATGTGTAAGTACGGTACTTTCTCTTGGTACCTTCCACATAGGTAAGTAGCACACTTACTATTAGTTCCAACCAAATGTTAGGATTAAGAACAGTGTCTAGGAAGATTAAAGGCTGAAATAACTCAAAATTGTTGGACTAAAATTCTGGACAGGAATGTCGACTTCACAAGAAACGCCGTGAACAAAAAACATACAGTTAAAACTTCACAAATTTCTTTTATGTTGTAGCACTAGACCGTTGCTACAATTCCCAATTTGAATCGCATTGAAAAGTGAAGTATTTTTCGAGTTATGAATTTTGGCGCACTAGGGGGTATGCTGTGTCTGAAACTTAAGTCAATCACAATAGTTCATCCAATAACCACACAAGGGAATAAGATTAGCTAGAAACTAGGTGGGAGGGGATGACGAGGACGAGAGGGAAGGTCTCTAGGGAGCCCCACAAATTCCCAAAGTTACCGCAACGAAATATGACATGCATTCAAACTTCAACCGTTCGTATCATTCTTGTCCGTGCTCCGAGCACGACGATTCTTGATTCGTCGTCAAAATCTCAAGCTGAGAAGTCATTTCAGGTATCTGTTCAAGCAAGATAACAGTCACACGCACTCAGAAAATCCAACCCACACCAAACAGAAACTCTTGCACACGCTCACACTACGCACCAATATATGATGGGAGGCAGATAGACGTTAATGCAAATAATATCATAACAGAACAAACTCCCCCTCTGGCTGCCAACCATCATCCCACATGCCTCAGCTCATGCATGCACACTCAATACACACTCATCCCACCAAGCTTCATGCCCTTCTAGTGCTCAGGTTCAGCCAGGCGTTCGGTGAGAATTTCAGCCGTCTGCTGCTGGGTTTTCACCACCTCTAGTCAACCTCCTTGTTCAGGAGCTTCCTCACCCTATGCCACTTAGGCCTGATGTGCTTTGTCATCCCATGTAGTCAAGCATCATTGGCCAACTTGACAGGCAACTCGTTGTCACAAAATATCACAGTCGGCTCTTTCTGGCACACTTCGATCTCCTTCAACGGACCCTTTAGTCACACCACCTCTTTAGCCCTGTGATGTAGGGCCAGTACTCTGTCTTACACAAAGACAGCCCCACTTCATTCTTCTTCTTGCTGCGCTAGCTTACTGCACCACCTCCTAACCGGCTGCTCCATCAGTTGGTCCGGTCTCCTCTCCTCCCGCATTTGCTTTAGTCGTTGCTATTGCCGCTGCTGCTGCTAGAGATTTCCCGTTCCAAGGGATGATGGGCAGCTGCCACAGGTCCTTGATGCAGCTGCTCTTCTCCTCTAGATTCTACAACAACAGCTTCCCAAGCTTTGCACGGCAGCTGGTTGGGCCGAAGGTAAATTCAGCTTGCTGTGCTGCAGCCAGTGCACAGAAAGAAGGTTAGCGAATAACCCCTTAACCAGCAGCATATTCCCAAGGCCCACAAGCTCCCCATTGGCTCCCATCACCTTGGCATTCCCAACACCAATCACAGGGATCAAACCAACAGAAGCAGCAGCCACAAACTTGATCTTCCCAGGGGGCTTTACCTCATCAAGCAAATCTGCTTGTGGGGTCATATGACTCGTGCAACCTGAGTCTATCACCCAGTGAGTGAAGTGATGCATCACAAACTTCCTAGCCGAACCCACATCAACCCACTCTCTTTCACATCCTCGACCATGAGGAACATCCCAGGGGAGGCTTTACCTTGTGCATTATTACCATGTGCACCTGAACCTTGCACAGCACCACCTCGTGCACGTTCACCACTTGGCGGCTTCATGCCTGGGGGTGCCCATTCCCCAGGCTGGCTGAAACACTTGAACCATGGGTGTCCAGCCTTCTTGCAGTACCAGCAAGCTCCTTTCATTCAGGTGCTCCCCCTGCCACCAGAGCTCCCATGCCCCTCATTGTAGTCACCTCGGCCTCTCCCTCTGCCATAGCCGCTCCCATGGCCTCGGCCTCTCCCACCCCCTTTTCCTCTACTGCCTCCTGCAGCTCCATACCCCTCAGCAGTCTTGTTGGCAGCACCACCTCCTGTGTGGCGCCTGCGGAAGTCCTCCTGCAGAGTTTGCTGCCGTAGCCACCCTGGCGCCCATTGGTCCTGCTGAGAGTTGAGGGTAGGTATCAGGTTGTCCCATGAGTTGTCAAGCACCGAGATGATCTTGGTGCACTGCTGCATCTGCGACACCTTGCTGCCCGCCGCTGCCATCCCCACATACGTGTCCTTGATTTTTTCAAAGACTGTCTTCACATCGTCTCTGTGTCACATAGAGAGGGCAGCCAACTCCTTCTCCAACACAATCACCATCGGCAATGTGTTTGGCTGAATTACGTCGCATAGTAGATTTCACATATTCAGTCCCGAGTCATCGAGCTCCATCAAATCCTTAATGTGCTGGAACATGTCGTTGTTGACCGATTATAGAATGAGGTCGTACAGAACCGCGGTCCTTTCAATCCATCGATGATGTGCATCTCCTTCCTCAGGTTTCTTGTCTTCTCCCAACGCAATTTTCAGCAGCTTGTAGCGCTTGAAGGCGCTCCTCATCCGCGCGCACCATTCCTCATAATTAGAGCCATCCAAAGCCTTGATCTTGGATGGTGACGGTTCACTCCTCTTCTCAGCTGCATCTCCACTCCCTTGACTTATCTTATCTTCACCCAATCTCAGCTCCCCCCTTTGCTGTGCACACCGAAGTCCCACAATATTTTCACAAGTGTCGGCGCCAACGAAATTTCGGCAGAGTTTCCCCTTAGCGGAAGTCAGCAATATCCCACCTTTAGAACCCCACTTTGGCATACCCACAGGCCATGGTGGGTCTAGAAGGGTCTTTATTCAAAACTCAGTGGACTCTCCTCAAGGTCCTTAATCAGCTCTGATACCACTTGTTAGGGTTAAGGATAGATACAGGAAGATTAAGGGCCGAAACAGCTCGAAATCGTTGGACTCAAATTTTGGACAGAAATGTCGACTTCACAAGAAACGCCGTCGACGAAAACGCACCGTTTAAACTTCACCAATTTCATATATGTTGTAGCACTAGACCGTGGCTACAAGTTCTGATTTGAATCACACGGAAAGTTGAAGTATTTCTCGAGTTATGAATTTTGGCGCAATAGGGAGTATGCTGTGGCTGAAACTTAACCGAATCACAATAGTTCATCCAAGAACTACATAAAAGAATAAGAGTAGCTAAAAACTAGGTGGGAGGGGATGAGGAGGACGAGAGGGAAGGTCTCTAGGGAGCCCCAAACCAAAGACACCCCATAATCACATCAAATCCCCTCCCCATAGGAATCTCACTTTGACTTTTGTCATTTTCCAACCCATGCCATCCACCTCACCCCAACTTGGCCACACATGGCAACCTGGTTCTCCCAACCACTTGGCAGCAACTACAGTAATGGTGACGAATTTCCTAACCCTCAATGGTCTATACCCCTTATGGAGTCACCCCACAAATTCCCAAAGTTGCCACAACGAAATATCCCATGCATACAAACTTCAACCGTTCGTATCTTTGTTGTACATGTTCCGATCGCGACAACTCTTGATTCGTTGGAAAGCTTTTGAGCAGAGAAGCTATTTCTGAAATCTGCTCAAGCAATATAACATTCACATACATTCAGATAATCCAAACCACACCAAACAACAAATTCTTGCACACGCTCACACCACGCATGCAATGCACTAATATATGATGGGAGGCAGACATACGTGAATGCAAATGATAGCATCACATAACACCAAATGGGTAACTAACGCACTTAATGTTAGTTCCAACCACATGGGTATGTAACACACATAATCTTGGTACAAATCACACGGGTAGGTAACGCACTTATTCTTAGTACCAACCATATGGGTATGTAACGCACTTACTCTTAGTACCAACCACATGGGTAAGTAACGCACTTACTCTTAGTACCAATAGCATGGTTGAGTACCGCACTTACTCTTAGTACCAAGCCCATGGATAAAGTACCGTACTTACTTCCGGTACCATCTACACAGGTAAGTAACACACCAAGTACCAACCACACGGGTAAATAACACACTTACTTCTAGTACCAACCACACAAGTAACTAACGCACGTACTCTTAGTATCAACCAGACATGTTAAAGCTACGCACTTATTCTTAGTACCAACCACACGGGTAAGTCCTAGTACCAACTACATGGGTAAGTAACGTGCTTACTCATAGTACCACGTATATGGGTAAGTAACGCACTTATTCTTGGTACCAACCATATACACATGTAAGTAGCGCGCATGCTCATCATACCAACCACAAGGCCCGGAATAAGCACGAGGCAAACACGAACGTGTCCGCGTTCGCCTTGGCTCGAACAGGGCCGTTCGGCGAACCGAACAGTGTTCGGTTCACCGAACAGGTTTGGCCCAAAAGGGTGTTCGAAGTTCGCCTGGAGAGGCGAACATTTCGAACACCCATCTGGCGAACACGTTCGTGTTTGCCCCAGAGGGCTTAGCATTACAACACACACGACGATCCACACTGAAGGGTTTCCACATTAGCAGTGATTTTCCTTACCTTCACTGCGTTTATAATAACTTTGATGACCATAAATAACGTGCGGCCTAAAACATGTCCATGGCCCAAGGTATGCCTAGCATTTAACATGGAAACGCCACCAAAGGCCCTCTCGATTGCCTACCAACAAAACCACAACTACATCCCGGTCCAACCCACGCTACCAACACTACCATCCTCACCACTGGCTGCTTCGTCCGCCCCTCTCCCCTCCTCCGCCTCCTCCTCCACCTCCTCCGCAGGCGCCTCCTCCACCTCCGCCCCCTCCTCTTCCTCCTCCTCCTCCTCCTCCTCCTCCTCCTCCTCCTCCTCCTCCTCCTCCTCCTCCTCCTCCACACCCTCGCCCTCAATAGCAATCTCCAGTGCTGCGACCCCCTTCGTGCGGCGGCCCTCACCGATCCTCTGGCCAGGGTGCGATCCATACCACGATCTGAGAATCATGCAGTCTCGCGCCCTCTCGGAGTTCAGGCGGTGACGCTTCCATGAAATGAGGTCGCGGCCCAAGGAGAACACGCTCTCGCTAGCAGCAGACTTGGCAGCGATGGCGAGATAATCCCTCGCCATCCGCTTCAGTGTCTCCATGTTCGTGGAGGTGCGCCAGTACTCTAGCGCTGACACATCGTACCGCACCCTCTCGGACAAGTACCTGCTGACCTCATCATCCTGCACCCCCCCCGCTGCCTGGCTCGCAGGGAGGCAAGGCGTCGGCGACTAGGGAGATACAGGTCGTCTTCGTCCTCCCCCCCCCTCTCTCCCTCCTCCTCCTCTACCACCGTGGGAAGTGTAGTGGGCCTAGGAGCCAGCTCCGTCGCCGCTGCCTGGTCGGCCACCCGATCACGTACCAGCGCGATCACTACGCTCGACGCTGGGCGCGGCCTCTCCCTCCGCTCCGTCTTTGGATGCTGTGTCTCCCAGTGGGCGTCGGCAAAACACGCCGCCTTCATAGATGGATCCAGGAAGGTGGCGATCCAGCTGATGTAGGCGTACTTCTTCAGGTTTTTCAGCGCCTTTTCGATCAGAGGCTTCAGCATCGCCGAGGGCCCCTTTGCCAGTCGGGCCTCCATGGCGTCGATGAGGCCGTTGTAGTACGGCACCACCATCGACAGAGTCGGGTACGCCTTCCCCTCGGCTGCCTTGGAGACCTTGTTGAAGGGGCTGAGAAATGTTCTCAGCTCCTTCAACATCTCCCACTGCTCATCTGAAAGGCGCATCTTCTCCACCCTCTCCTTGTCCGCCTTCGCCAGGCCCTGTCCGGGTTTGGGTGTGGTGGGGCATATGAGGGAGAGGGCTGTTCTCAATATGTATCGCATTTCATGCGATCAATACCACAACACATATGCGACTTTATGCCGCACCATGTCACACACATGCCACACACATGCCACTCACATGCCACTCACATGTCACATACATGCAACACACATGCCGCACACATGCCGCACACATGCAACACACATGCCACACACATGCCACACACATGCCATACATATGCCACACCCACACACATGCCACACACATAACATGCCACACACATGCCGCACACATGCCGCAAACATGCCGCACACATGCTACACACATGCCACACACATGCCATGCCACACACATGCCACACACATGCCGCACACATGCTGCACACATGCTACACACTTGCCACACTCATGCCATGCCTCACACATGCCGCACACCTGCCGCAGACATGCCACACATATGCCGCACACGTGCCACACACATGTCATGCCGCACACATGCTACACACATGCCACACACATGCCGCACACTTGCCACACACAAATCCCATGTCCCGTTCCCACCCTTTACCTGGGTCGAGGCCAAGAACACAGTGATCGGATTCTGCAGCTCAAGGAAGCGGTCGATCATGGCGTGAGTCGAACCCCAGCGGGTAGGACTGTCTTGCACCAGCTCCAAGGCTGGTTTTTTTACACGGGCCTGCAGGTTCAAGCTGCGCTGAAGTCCCAGAAACGCCGCCGAGCGCTGCGGCGAGTACCCAACCCAGGATGCCATATCTCTGAGCACCTTCAACAGGTCGCGAATGGCATCCACCTTCAATCCTGCCTGCACTGCCAGGTTAACCACATGTGATATGCACCTACGGACCACAGCACCGTATGGATGGGATTTGGGAGGTAGTGACACATGGTCTTTGGTTGCCGTGGGGGAATCCACAAAACCCAAATACACCCACACACACCCACAATGCCGACCCTGACAAGCCATCCCGATATCACCCCCACACCCACTCCACTCATACCTGAAGTGCAGGCGGGAGTTGGAGAAAGCCCGACCACCACCCTCCTCCAACAGCCTCCTGAACACGACAAATGTTGGCCAAGGCGTTGTCTTAGGTGAGGCCCAGACAACGCCCCTCCAACCCCCACATCACCACCGTGTCCTCCACGACCTGCGCGATCTACAACCGCTCCATGACGACCTGTCAGCTCGCGAAACTCCAGCACTGCCTCGCGTAGCTGAAATGACTCGTCCATCCAGTGACCTGTCACAACTAGCCAAGCCTTCCCATTGGGTGCAGTCCAGATGTCAATGGTGTATGACACCTTGCATCCCAACTCCCCCTCCTTCCCCAGCAGCTCCGCCTTGGCAGCATGCAGAGCGGCCGCAGCAAACGCCACAGTGTCGCGTGCCACCGTCCAGCGCGAAGGTATGAAGTTCTTCTCCCCGCAGTGGTGGTTGCACAGGGTCAAAAGCTCGCGAAACTGGTGGGGTGGGTGGGACGGTACACAACGAGCATGCGTTGGGTTTCGCAGCACAGTTCAATAATGGAATGGAAAGGAGAGGCGTAAGAGGCACAACCCAACTCCAACCCCCTAACATCATGCGCTCGCCTTGGCCGAGCCAACCACACCACGCCAGTCACACCCAGCAGCAGTAAACCCTTACCGCCTCAGCCTCCACAATTTTGAAGGGAAGGTCGCAGGTCACCACCAGCTTGGCGATCGCCTGACGAAGCTCCACTTCTGACAGCTTCTTCGACATGTAGCTCTTGATCCCAGCCCCGCCTGACCCCTCCGCCCCTCGCCCCTCTGCCGCCCCTCTCTTCTTTGGGATGTTAGGCCAGCTTTCTGCATGCGGCCAATAATATACGTAGCCATCCGGCACTCCAACGTAGCCCCCCCTCGGAAACGTCTCGCCCGGCAGTTGCAGATGTGGATTGTGGTAACGATGATACCACACATCCATATGAGCAGTGTGGTAGCTCTCAAAGTGGCGCTCGCCTGGTGTAGTTGTAGATCCCCTCCAAGAAATCCGATCAGTGCAATTCTTGCATTGACGCTTGTCGTTTGTCCCCTTAGGTCCAAACATCTGAACTTGCCACCCTTGTTTCTTCCTCCCCTTGCCACTCCCCCTACTACTCTCGGTCTGTCCATCCTCGTCAAGGAACTCTGGAGCAACCAAACCCTCGCCCAAATCCACCCCTCTGAAGGTGCAAGGATATGCTCGTGTCCGCAACTTCTCGGCTTTCTTCTTCCGGTTCCCAATTAACGGCCTCTTTCGCCCAACCTTAACACCGCCGCCTCGCACCCGTCCTCTACCCACATGCTGCGAGGCCTCCTCTGCGGCAGCCGCGGCAACCCCTCCTCCCTCACCAACCCCCTCCTCCACCCCCTCTGGCTCCAACCCTTCCATCTCATTATCTTCATCTCCTCCCCGGTCCCCACCACCGCCATGAGTCTCTGGTGTCCACCCCGGCTCACTATCTTCACCGCTCCCCTCCTCGTCCTCCTCCTCCCCCTCATCCTCCCCCTCATCGTCCTCCTCCTCCTCCTCCTCGTCCGCCGCACTGTCGGTCTGAGTGGTGTGTGCTTCTGCCCAGAAGGACGGGGTCGAGGACCCGAGTTACGGAACGACTGACGGGATGATGGCACGGGCATCGACAGAAGCCCACCGACGAAACAAGCACCAACTCCTCCAGGGCCGTCACCCACTCGACCCTGCATTGGTCGTGGTGCAGACGATAGAGCACCGCCCTGACTACCGCGACCACCCCGACCTGCACTAACTTGTTGGTGGGAGGCCATTTCCCGCGACGGCCGAATAAACCTACACACTTGATAGAACGGTAATGCGGCGGCGAGGTGTGGGTAAGGGAGTGTCACTTTAATGAAAAACCTAACGGTGGAAACTCCTTCAACGGTGGAAACCCTAACGGTATCGCGCTACTTCAACTTATGCACTCGGAGTAGAGGCTTTTTACGTTCTATTATTAAGTGTCGTGATCAACTCGCCAAACCGCAAGAATCGAAGCATCTTCCCCACTAGGCTAGTACTAGTAGGTGAGCGTGTGGCTGGTAGTAGTGGGCTGGGCAGGCGCAACGACATGGTCGCGGAGCTCTAAAAAATGTGCCACAAAAGAATTGGCCGCAACCCTAAATTAGGTCACGGCCAATTCGTCAACAAACACCGAGGTGTTCGACGCGGCTCGGCTCATCGACGCCGGCAAACGTCGAACGTGTTCGCACGAACAGCGAACACGTTCGAGCCAAACATTTTTGGGCAAAAAAAAAGCCCGTTCGGTTCATCTCGAACATGTTCGAGACGAACCGAACGGGGGACAAGGGTATGTACCGCACTTCTTCTTAGTACCAACCACATGGGTAAGTTACGCACATACTCTAATTACCAACCATACAGGTAAGTATCGCACACATATACGGGTATAGAACGTACGTACACTTGATACCACCCATACGGGTAAATAACACACTTACTTAGTACCACCCACATGGGTATGTAAGGCACTTACTCTTAGTACCAACCACATGGGTAAGTAACGCACTTACTGTTGGTGTAAGGGCCTAATAAACTCAAGCTATTAAGACTTAAGGACACTCCACTTCATAGTCACCCGACTCCCTGACACCCTCAGCTCAGTTCGAGACCACTTCCTTGCTCGCTGTCCCACTGAGCTCACAGTCGCCCTCCTAGAGGAGCAGCTGCTAGCGGCCGAAAAGAGCATTGTAGCTGTCGGTGCTGCTCGTGGCGCTCCTCGCACCCCCATCTTTGAGGGGTGTTCTCCCTCTCCCCTCGCTCCCTCCTACGCTACTGCTGCTGCTGTTGACTTCCTTGGTGCTGAGTCTGCTGGCGCTGCTTCTGCTCCTGGTGGGAGGCGCCGCACCGGCAAGGGCAAGGGGGGCAAGGGTGGCGGGGGTGGCGCTGGGGGGGGAGGAGGTGGGGGAGGTGGGGGGGGAGGCGGTGCTGGAGGGAGCGGTGGCGGGAGTGCTGGTGGGAGTGGGGTCGGCAGCGGAGGCGGGGGCGGCGGAGGGAGCGGTGGCGGTGGTGGCGGCGGCGGCGGTGGCGGCGGTGGCGGCGGTGGCGGTGGCGGCGGTGGCGGTGGTGGCGGTGGTGGCGGTCGGAGCGGAGGTAGTGGTGGTGGCGGAGGTCGGAGTGGAGGCACTGGCTCGGGCCAGAGCTCCCAGCAGCAGCAGCGTCCCCAGACGACCCAGCAGCTTCGTGAGTGGCTTGCTCAGCGTGGGACGTCGGGGGGCAATGGCCGCTGTTCCTATGTCATTCGCACAGGTGACCGCAAGGGACAGACGTGTGGGAGGTTCCACACCCCGTACCGCTGCTTCTCCCGCCTTGACGACGCTTGGCGTGAGGAGATGGGCGAGGATGTTGAGCGCCCCCGCTGGGCTGAGCTCATGAGGGCTGGTGTTGATATCTTTGCTCTTGACTATGATGCTATTATTGCTGCCATGTATGCATTGACTGTTAGTGCCGAGGGAGACTGTTACTTGTGTGTGCCGCCTGACCCAGGTATAGAGCCCGCTGCCCTGGGTACTAGTGAGTCTGCTCTCTCAGGTACAGCACCCACAGAGACTGCTCTCTCAGGTACCGCACCGGCTGAGGCCTGTCACACCTTCACCCTTGACTCAGGTGCTTCCCGCTGTTTCTTTCGTGACAGTACTGAGCTCACACCGCTTCCTGCACCGGTCCCAGTCTCCTTGGCTGACCCCTCTGGGGGCCCAGTCCTTGCCCAGTCCACCACTGTGCTCCCTTGTCCGGCGGTTCCGTCTGGCTCGTTGTCGGGTTTCCACCTCCCCTCGTTCTCGACGAACCTGGTGAGCAACGCTGTCATCCAGGATCAGTGGGTTGACACCTTTACCCCTGGAGGACAGCGTGTGGCGATCTGCACGTGCTCCAGGACCGGCCGTCACCTGGCTACGTTTACCCGTCGGCCGGGGTCGAGCCTGTACACACTGACCACTGCGTCTCCTCAGGTCGCTGCTGTCGGTCAGGTGTCCGCGTCAGGTCTGGTAGCCCACGCCTGTGAGTGTCGTTCCCTGTCGCACCAGACTCTTCTCTGGCACCACCGCCTGGGTCACCCCTCCTTGCCGCGCCTTCGTGGCATGCACCGTCGCCACCTTGTGTCTGGTCTTCCCAGGTCCCTCCCTCCCCTCCCTGCCTCGCCTGCGCCGCCTTGCCTTCCTTGCGTCGAGGGGCGGCAGCGCGCCGCTCCTCACTCCTCCTCGTTCCCCCTGACAGAGGCTCCTCTGCAGACCCTCCACCTGGACGTGTGGGGCCCAGCCCGCGTTCGTGGTCAGGGCGGTGAGCGGTACTTTTTGCTGGTTGTCGACGACTACTCGCGTTACACCACGGTCTTCCCCTTGCGCACCAAGGGTGAGGTCCCTGCTGTTCTGATCCCTTGGATCCGCACAGTTCGTCTCCAGCTCCGCCGCCGTTTTCGGACGGATCTTCCTGTCCTGCGTCTGCACTCTGACAGAGGTGGTGAGTTTTCCTCCGATCTCTTGAGGACCTTCTGTCAGGCGGAGGGCATCGAGCAGACCTTCACGCTTCCGGACTCCCCACAGCAGAATGGGGTTGCTGAGCGCCGCATTGGCCTGGTCATGGAGGTCGCTCGTACCTCCTTGGTCCACGCGGCGGCTCCACATTTTGTGTGGCCGTTTGCTGTCCGGTACGCCGCGCATCAGCTCAACCTTTGGCCCCGTGTCTCCTTGCCGGAGACCTCGCCCACACTGCGTTGGACGGGGGAGGTTGGCGATGCGTCGCGCTTCCGGGTGTGGGGTGCTCGTGCCCTTGTCCGCGATACGTCCGCGGACAAGCTCTCCTCCCGCACACTTCCCTGTGTCTTCCTTGGCTTTGTCCCTGACGCGCCGGGCTGGCAGTTTTACCACCCCACCTCGCGCCGGGTCTTCGCCTCTCAGGACGTCACCTTTGACGAGTCGGTCCCTTTTTACCGTCTCTTCCCCTACCGCACTGCCCCCCTCCCTCCCCCGCCGCTTTTCCTTGCTCCTGGTCCCCCTCCGGTAGACCCCCTTCCCCCTCAGGGTCCTGCTCCTTCAGGTGTCTCTCAGGTAGACCCTCCTCCCGTCGCTGAGCCTGTCGAGGTCACAGGTGACTCAGGTGCTGCTGCAGGTGGTGCTGCTGGGAGTGCTGAGCCTGCGGGTGCTGGGCCTGGGAGTGCTGGGACTGCGGGTGCTGGAGCTGAGGGTACTGTGCCTGAGAGTTCGGCGCCTGGGGGTGCTGAGCCTGGGGGTGCTGCGACTGGGGGTGCTGAGCCTGCGTGTGCGGAGTCTGGGGGTGCTGAGCCTGGGGGTGCTGCTACTGAGCCTACGGAGCCTCGGGTTGCTGCGTCTGGGGGTGCTCCGGTTCGGGGTGCTGAGCAGTCTCTCACACCGCAGCAGCTTCGTGACTGGTACGTCCGGCGCTTTCGCCGTCCTCGTGGCTCGGCTGGAGTTGGGGGTGCTGGGGCTGCTCGTCCTGGGGGTAATGGAGCTGCCGGGACTGGTTGTTCTGGGAGCGCTACGACTGGAGCTGCTGGAGCTGGGGACTCTGGAGCTGGCGGTGCTAGCGGAGTTGGAGCTGCCGACTCTGGGGGTGCTCTTCCTAGCGGTGCTGCGGACCCTGGGGGTGGCGCTGCTGCTGGTGCTGCGGACCCACCTGGTGGAGCTGCTGCTGGAGCTGAGGACCCGAGCGGTGGCGCTGCTGCTGGTGCTGAGGACCCGGACGTTGGAGCTCCTGCTGGTACTGAGGACCCGGACGTTGGAGCTCCTGCTGGTGCTGAGGACCCGGCCGCTGGAGTCTCTTCTGCTTCTGGAGACGCTGCGCGGCCGCGACCGTACTTCGTACCACTCCTTCAGCAGGTTCTTGGGCAGGCTCCTCCTCCTTGTCCTCCTCCCTCCGTAGAGTGTCCTCCGCCTGTCCCGCCGCAGTCACAGTTACCGCCTACCTCGCCTCTCCCTGCTCCCTCTCCCTACACTGGTCCCACAGGAGGTCTTACAGAGCGTCGTGAGCCTGAGTCTCGTCCTGCGTCGCCTGTTCGTACTGCTCGCACTGGTCGTCGTGTCCGTCGTGAGCGTCCTCCTCCTGTCCCAGGCACTCACTACATGACTCTGCGTCCATCTACTGCTCCTCAGCGTGTCCCTCTACCGTCTCCTCCTGCGTCCTCTTTGCCTGCCGTTCCGGACCCTGAGTCTGACCGGTATCGTGCTGAGCACCCTACTGTCACGCGTCTCCTAGCTACTGTTGTCACTGACCCTACCTTCGAGTCCTCGGCTGCGTCTGCTCTGGTCGCTGAGTTGGTTGAATTTGCTGCTGCCTGTCGTCTAGACTACACCGCTAGTCTTGTTGCTGAGTCTGAGTCTGCGTCTGTCTGTCCTCCGTCCGTCGGGGGTGAGTGTGCTCTTGGCACGGACGTCCTTGAGGACAGGCAGGAGGACTTTGACTCTCTCGCGGCTGCTGTACCTCATCTCGTGGCCTGGTTGCTTGCCCCTGAGGGAGACCCGGATGCACTAGACATCCCCACTCCGCGCACTTACGCAGAGGCGATCTCGGGTCCCTACTCCTCTCAGTGGCAGACAGCCATGGACGCAGAGATGGCATCCTGGAAGTCCACAGGCACCTACGTCGACGAGGTTCCCCCTCCTGGGGCGAACATCGTCGATGGCATGTGGATTTTCAGGGTGAAGCGGCCGCCAGGTTCTCCGCCTGTCTTCAAGGCTCGTTACGTTGCTAGAGGCTTCAGTCAGCGTCAGGGGGTCGACTTCTTCCAGACCTTCTCCCCCACCCCGAAGATGACCACTCTTCGGGTTCTGCTGCACGTTGCTGCTCAGCGTGACTACGAGCTTCACTCTCTTGACTTCAGCACAGCGTTCCTGCAGGGCAGCCTGCACGAGGAGATCTGGCTGCGCCGTCCACCTGGCTTTACTGGGTCGTTTCCTCCTGGTACCCAGTGGAGCCTCCGCCGGCCAGTCTACGGTCTCCGCCAGGCGCCACGTGAGTGGCACGACACACTGAGGACTACACTTGCAGCTCTTGGGTTCGCGCCGTCTACTGCTGACCCGTCGCTGTTTCTGCGCACAGACACGTCGCTACCGCCGTTCTACATTCTCGTGTACGTCGACGACTTGGTCTTTGCTACTGCTGACACTGAGGCACTCGCTCGTGTGAAGTCGGAGCTGCAGAAGAGACACACCTGCACTGACCTGGGTGAACTGCGTAGCTACCTTGGCTTGCAGATCACCCGGGACAGAGCTCGCCGCACCATCACCCTGACTCAGTCACACATGGTGCAGCAGGTCCTTCAGCGCTTCGGCTTCCAGTTCTCCTCACCACAGGCCACACCTCTGGCTACCAGCCACTCGCTCTCAGCTCCACCTTCGGACGAGTCCGTAGAGCCTAGTGGCCCGTACCCAGAGCTTGTAGGCTGCCTCATGTACCTGATGACTTGCACGCGACCTGACCTCGCGTACCCACTTAGCATCCTTACTCACTACGTTGCGCCTGGGAGACACAGGCGAGAGCACTGGGAGGCTGCTAAGAGGGTGCTGCGTTACTTGTGCAGTACATCAGGCATGGGGCTGGTGCTTGGAGGACGCGACAGAGTTGTCCTCACTGGTCACTCGGACGCTTCTTGGGTGGACGACCTGGCTACGCAGCGGTCGTCACAGGGTTACACCTTCAGCCTTGGCTCTGGTTCTGTCTCGTGGCGGTCCACCCGCTCTTCTTCTGTTCTCGGCTCTAGTTGTGAGGCTGAGATCTACGCCACAGCCATGGCTGCATAGGAGTTACGCTGGCTCACCTACCTGCTGACTGACTTGGGAGAGCGGCCTAGTTCTCCTCCAGTTCTGTACGGTGACAACAAGGCGGCCCTTGCCTTGTGTCAGGAGCACAGACTGGAGCACAGGACGAAGCACATTGCTCTTCGCTACTTTCTTGCTCGAGAGCTTCAGCAGCGCGGTCAGCTTCGGCTTGTGTACGTGGACTCGAAGGCCAACACTGCTGATATCTTCACCAAGGCGCTCCCGTCTAGTGATCATCAGCGGCACTGTACTTCTTTAGGCCTTGTGTCCATGTTTCCTCACTTGCTTACTGCTTGACTTTCTTTGTACTGTACTTTATATATATCTTGCTGCTTGTCCTGTTCTATATCTAGCACTGCATGTGAACTGGCCTTGTGGCCTTTGCTTGTGCTCGGAGTGTGGTGACGTTGTGATCCACCCTGGGCTTTGCTTTGCTTTGCTGGACTGGTCTTGTGACCCTTTGTTCTCCCCCACTTTGCCTATGGGGGTGTGTTAAACTGTATTATGTTTGTAGGCTGTAGTGGGGTAGCCAATATGGGGTACAACCCCAACTAGGGTTTTCTACTTGTACCCAATTCTTCCATTCAATGCACCATTCTTGCCTAGTTCTTTCCACACCCCAACCACGTTCTTCATTTCCAATTTCTAGTTTTACTTCCCTAGTTCTCATCCATCCTGGCGAAGACGCGGTCTCTTCCACGGTTCAATTCCCCATCAACCTTCTTACCGACATTCTTCAACACAACTTGGCGAGTATGGCTGCCGCCAACACTACACTTAATCGAGATGCGGAAAAAGACTAATACTCCGTTTAACGCTTTGGAGCACGAGAACGCGCTCGGGGCACCTGAAGATAATTTCAACGAGGACACCTCAGGCGTCGAAGTTCTGCTCGGGAGCAACTCCTGAGCCCCCTTTGAAGAAGCACGCGCAACTGTGAATCAGTCGCGCGTGCCCCCTCCTGACGTGCGTATGGCTGCCAGGCAGCCGCGGGGTCTGGTCAAGTCAACGACGACTGACGTGGACGGCGACGCTGGTCAGAAGCGACAGAAGGCAGCGACCTCAGCAGAAGCCGCCCCAGTCAACTCCCTTGCGTCCCTCACTACACAGCAGATGCAGGCCCCGCTCTCGATGTTACAGCAGCACGCCCCGGTTACAGTCGCAACTTCATCCGACTATATTTCGGCACCTGCAAAAGTTGAAAATCAGAAAGAAGTCACTGCTCCTCGCGCAAACAGGGCTGCACGTGTCAACAAGACCACTGCCGCACCTCTCCCCGCTCCCGCACCGGCGCCGATTGCTCCTCAAGACGACAGCGACGACTTAGAGAATGACGATGGTGAAGCCCCCAACAACATACCCGTCGTTGTATTATTGCACCCGCACCCTATCTCCTACACCACAACCCCACACCCGCACCCACCACCTTCATGCGCAAGGGTGTGCGCGATCAGGTGGAGGTTTTTTTTTGCTATCGAGGCACACGTGATGCACGTTAATTTCAAGCTCCAGCACGGCGACATAGAAAGCGCCCTCGCCAACGTCGCGGAAATCGAAACGCTCATCAACAATCGCTTCGAAGTCCTCTTGGTGGCGGACGAGGCGGGGTTTGAGGTTGCCAATCGCTTTCAGCTATACCAGTCCAAGAGCGTGTTGACCTCACGCTCATACAAGCTCGTATTTGCTGATGTGGCAGCTCTCAAGCGTGCGTGCGCCAGCTACACTCGTGGTAATTGCATGCCTACCCTAGATTGCGAAACGGAAGGCAAGGGCATGCCACCTGAAAGCTTCCACGAACCCCGCTTCAACGGGGTGTGCTTCCGCTGCAGCCACCCTGGCCATATGGCAAATTCTTGCCCTATGGGAGGGTGAGGCGCTCAAGGCCCCTCACCCGTAGTATGAGGAGGCACACAGGGCGGCGCTCCTTGTCACTATGCTGGGGGCCGTAGGTGGGAGCACCAAGTGTGCTTGGATGGTAGTTAGCATAGAGTATGGGCTGAAGGCCTTAGAAATCCCCGGCCGTGAGGGTGGATATGGGGGTAGCACGTGTCATGTGCCCATGTGTGGAGTCAAGTATTTAAAAACTCTTTTTGTTATTATTAAAATAAAAAATAATCAGTGAGAAAGAAAGCCACCTTGCAGCACGAGTAGCTCCATGACTAAATGGAAAGAGTAAGGAGGAAAGTGGAAGAAACTGAGATAGGAAAGAAAACATGCGAGTAAGGGGGAGATAGAGAGATTGAGAAGGAGAGCGAAAGGGAGAGTAAATTTGCTTGCTAGGTCTCTTTGGTGATGCTCTGCCTGTACCTTATACGTCTGCTGCTGACTCATTTCTTATCCGACCCTTTTCCGTCGTTCCTCTTCCCCTACTAAAACTTCGGGCAGTCTTTTCTTAGGTGGCCCAACTGGTTGCATGCAAAGCATAGCCCGATGCTCGGCCTGGCGCATCCACGTCGTTGATCATGGGCTGCTGAGTCAATCCACAAAATCGAGGGCCCTCTCGGGAGCTTGATCTCGCCCACTGCATCAGCATATCCATTGCCTCAACTTTTCGAACAGCATCATTAAAGTTGCGTGGCCGCGTGCGTCGGACCTCGTATTTAAGGCCCACTATGTAGCGATCCAACCGCTCCGCGTCACTCATGTCATCCACTTGGTCCGTCAAGTTGCAGAATGTGCTGGAGTAGTCTTGGACCGTAGTCAGCTGCTTCCAGGCACGCAGCTTCATGCGAGCAGAATCCGAGGCGGATATGTGCTCAGACCTAGCTCGCAAGGTGGCGAACACCTCCATGCCAAACACCTCCACGCCAAACAACCACGTAGGAACAGTAACAAACTTGCAGCGTGAAAGAATACCTCCACGCCAAACAACCACGCAGGAACAGTGACAAACTTGTCACTTGGGTTAAATGGGAGCGGGTTCGTCGGCTTAATCTTGACAGTTGTTGAAGCTGCCACAACCGCTGACAGTTGTTGGGCTACCGATGGGACGCCGGTGGGGTTACTAGGCAAGGGGAAGAGCGACGGGGATTGCGAGACTGAGGGGGCCAGGCGGAGAGGGGGAGGAGGAGGCGGAGGAGGAGGAGGAGGAGGAGGAGGGGAGGAGGGGCGGAGGCGGAGGAGGCGGCGGAGGAGGAGAGAGGAGGAGGGAGGCGGACCGAGGAGGCGAGGGAGGCGGAGAAGGAGGGGCGAGCGAGGAGAGGCGGAGGAGGCGGAGGCGGAGGGCTGAGGGAGACGGCGGCGAGGAGGAGGCGGGGAGGCGGAGGAGGAGGAGGAGGAGGAGGAGGAGGCGGCGGAGGCGGCGGAGGCGGAGGATGCGGCGGCGGATCGAGGCGGAGGAGGCTGCTTGCGGAGTGGAGGCGGCGGGGGGGAGGCGGAGGAGTAGGCGGAGGAGCGGGGCGGCTGAGGCGTCGTCTGAGGCGGCGGAGGAGGAGGAGTAGTCGGAGGAGGACGTCGGCGGCCGGAGGAGAGAAGGAGGCGAGGAGGAGGGCGAAGGAGGAGGCTGAGGATGGAGGGCGTAGCGAGGCGGGGTCGTCGGAGGAGGAGGAGGCGGATGAGGCTGCGGAGGCGGGGATTCGGCGGTCTGATGATTCGGCGGCTGTGCTGAGTGTCTGCGGCGTTAGGAGGCGGAGGCGGATGAGGAGGAGGCGGATGCTTCGCAGCAGCAGAAGCAGAAGAAGCAGCAGCAGAAGAAGAAGAAGAATCAGCATCAGAAGCATCAGATAGGTTCAGAGGTTCTTTTTCTTCGTCTTAGGATGCGTAGGAGGCTTCTTCTTCTGATGTTCTTCTTCTTTTCTTATGTCTTCTTCTTCTTATCTTCGGAGGGAGCTGTTCTTCTTTCTTCTTCTTCTTTTCTTCTTCTTCTTCTTCTCTTCTTCTTCTTCTTCTTCTTCTTCTTCTTCTTCTTCTTCTTCTTCTTCTTCTTCTTCTTCTTCTTCTTCTTCTTCTTCTCCTTCTTCTTCTTCTTCTTCTTCTTCTTCTTCTTCTTCTTCTTCTTCTTCTTCCTCTTCTTCTGCAACTTCGTTCAGCATAGAGCTACTACGTGCTTCGTCCCCGACGGGCGACCCTGGCGCGCGTCACCTCGCGCTTGGTGTAGTTCACGTTTTCCTCCCTCAGGCGTTCGACCTTCTTAGACATTGTCTGCAAGTTAGCCTGCATCGCCCAAAACTATTGCACAAACTCGTCAAACTCGTCCTGCTCAATATTTCTCAGTCTTCGCCTAACGGGCAAGGGGTTGATTGCGATTATTATGACTTTGAGGATGGTGCAAACTCTATTGTAGTCATAGTGAAATAACCATATCTGTTTTATAGGCTGACTGCTTTGCAACCCACCAAGTCTATCGCTCCCCTTACACAAAATACATAGGAAAGACAATGGTAACCTAGGAAAGCAGCTCTGATATCAAGTGTTATGAGTTGTAATGAAGAAGAGTGCACAAAATTCAATAACGCGAAAGTGAATACAACAACAGATCGAATTATGAAGTCTAGCACTAATATAGCAAAGGGTAGGTAGGCCGAAATTGCGAGCGAATGGTTGGGTGTAGGTTCGGGGTTAGGAAACCCGAAGGCGACATGATGGTGGTTCGGAGGGCGAGGTAATTGGCCGAGCCTGAATCCCGAAAGATGTAGTTGACTTGTAAGGACCTTCGGCTTCCCTTTGCCCAACCTGCACCCAGCCTCGTGTACCCAAGGTTCCCGTCGAGCTTGGTTGATCCGCTATATAATCATGTGCCTTTGGTTGTATGGTCAGTTCATAGTGAAAAAGCTTCGTTATTCATTTTTTGCGCAACTCGGTTTTGTTGGTGTAAGGGCCTAATAAACTCAAGCTATTAGGACTTAATCAAACTTAAAACCTCTCCTCGGGGTCACCTCCAAGGGTCCCTGGGTGCCTGGTACAAGACCAGCCCCTATCCTCGGGTCCGAGTTTGTAGAGAGAGGGATCAAGAAGGACTTAGTCAAAACAGCAAGAGTACCTTGAACGTCGCGCAGCGTGCCGTGCAGACCGTCGGTCGGATTAAGCTGAGAATTCGCTATATCGAAGCTCGCTCCAAGAGCTTTAAAATGAGCCAAGTTGCCTCGCGAAAAGTTCTGCCATTACTAAGTTACGGCTCGGACAGCGTTTGCCTAGCGTTGGAGTGCTAGCATACTAGCGTTGACTCGGGTAGCATTCCGCCGTCGAATAGCGCAGAAACGAAATTCCAGTGAGGAAGGAATTCGCTTGAATCAATTTGACTATATTCAGGTACAAACAGAGAAGGAATAAATAGTTCTAGCTAGCAAGGACCTTGGGAATCAACCTGGGAACAACCAGGGATGATCCCAAATAATTCCAAGCAACAGAACCAACCTGGCTGGACAAAACAGCAGGTGGTAGGTTGGAAAACAACCTCTGGTTCTGTTTCTCCAACCTGGGAAAACAACAACCAGGTTCAGGTTCTAAAAACAGAACCTGTTTTGTCTTTGCCCAACCAGCCAAATGCTGGTTCTGCTGGTTTCCCCTGGCCTTGTAGCATGCAGATACAGACAAGCAACATCCAACCTTCACCTTAATTGTACCCCTATAGTGCCTGCCCTGCTACACTATAGTCAACCAAACAATACAGTACAATTTCGAGTTGGATAGAACTGAATCTGCGCAATCAACTCAACCGAACTGCGAAGCTTCCATCTTGGGTTCCTTTGCGAGCTCGTCCTTTCTGCTTGCACTGTTCATAGCGCGTACAATGTTGTGCCGAAGCGCATATTGCGCGAGTACCTGCAAATGCTTCAAGCGAAAATAGCGAAAACAAACAAACACACGAACACACCATTCACACGCAAATGCACTCGCACACGCATACTCGTACAAACAGACGGCAGGATGTCGTGCAATGTAAATTTGCACCCAACACACTCCCCCTCAGCCTGCCGGCTGCATCCCCGTCATTCCATGCTAGTTCATGCTCATTCCACTCATGCGCATACAACGCCAATGAGGCTCATCCGCAAGCCTCTTGGTGAGAAAGTCTGCTGGCTGCTGGTGAGTCTTGATGTAGATCGGATGCACCGTCCCCCTCTTCACCTCCTTACGCAGCCAGTGCCACTTGATACGCATGTGCTTGTTCAGCCCATGAAGCACAGCGTTTCTGGCCATCCCAAGAGCCCCCTTGCTATCACAAAACAGCGGCGTAGCAACTTTCTGCTCCTGGCCAATCTCCTCTAACAGCCTCCTCAGCCAAATCACCTCCTTCACCCCATGGAACATCGCCATGTACTCTGATTCTACGGAAGAGAGTGCCGTCTCCGTCTGCTTCTTGGACCTCCAACTAACAGGTCCTCCCCCAACTACGCAGATGTATCCTCCCACAGATGAGGAATCCTCCTTCTCAGAAGCCCACGTAGCATCGGTAAAGCAAGTGAGAAATAGCTTGCCTTCTCCAAGCCTCTCCCCCTTCTCTTTCAGCACCTCCACCCCTTTCTGCTTCACCTGTGCAGATGCGGAGTATTGAACTCCAATGCTTGGGTGAGAGTTCAGGTACTTCACCACACGCTCAGCTGCATCCACCTGCTCCTCTGATGGATTCTGCACCACCCTAGCCAGCTGCCCAACCGAGAAAGAGATGTCGGGCCTCGTGTGAACTGCTGCGTACAAGAGGCTGCCCACCAAGGACTGAAATTGCTGCTGCTCTTCAGCTTCAACCCCTTCATCCTCTGCAGCCTTCACAAGCTTGAATTCTGCTGGCAGGGGAGTTGCAACCTTGCGCTCATTCTCAATCCCATACTTCTCCCCCAGCTCCTTGATGAACTTCTCCTGGTGCAGCTTCAACCACCTGTGATCTGGATCCCTCTCCACGTGCATCCCGAGGTAGTACTTTACCTCCCCAAGGTTCTTGCACTTGAAGTTTTTCATCAGTTGCTGCTGCACTTTCTGGATCTCCTTCATGCTGCTGCTGAAGAGAAGAATGTCATCCACATAGACCAGAAACAGCACCAGCTTCTCCCCCTCGCCCTTGAGAAAGAGGCTCTCATCACAGCTGCTGGTCCTGAATCCCATCTCCTCTAAAACAGCTGCCAACTTCTGGTACCAGCAGCGTGGCGCCTGCTTCAAGCCGTAGATGGACTTGTTGAGCTTGCACACCCTGCCCATACCATCCTCATACCCAGGCGGCTGCGTCATGTACACATCCTCCTCTAAAATCCCATTCAGGAATGCCGTTGAAATATCCATCTGAATGATGAATTTTCCACTAACAGCTGCATCTGCCAACAAGACACGGAGGGTAGGGGGTTTGGCAGTGGGAGCAAAGATCTCGTTGAAGTCCTGCTTCTCCTTCTGCATAAACCCCTTCGCCACCAGCCTACTCTTGTAGATGGTGACCTGCCCCTTGTCATCGGTCTTGATCCTCAGCACCCACTTGCATTGTATCGCTTTCTTCCCATCAGGCAGCACCACCAGATCCCATGTCCTATTCTCCAGCAGACTCTGGTACTCAGCATCCCTAGAAGCCAGCCACTTGTCCCTATCTGGTCCAGCTAATGCCTCCTCCATGCTAGCTGGTTCCTCTGGTGCAGGGGCAAGAAAACAGTACGCAGGCTCATCCTCCTCATCCGGGTCATAGCCATGAGGTAGAATCAGCAATGCCTCTTCGGTCCCTAGCTGCTGCTCTGCTGCATCAGTTCCTGCAGTCAGCTTCTTAGTAGCCATACGGGTACGTCCTGGCCTGGAGACGGGTGTCTCCCATCCCTTCATAACGACACCCTTCGGCTTCTTAGTTTTTCCCTGCTGCTTCTCTCCTCCCTCGGGTCCAGCAGCTCCACTAGTGCTGCCGCCAGTTTCCACACCATTTTCTCCACCAGCAGATGCCTCCTGTACCTTCTCTCCATCACCATTTCCAGCAGCTGCCTCCTCTCCCTCCTCCCACACACTAGGAGTCAGGTCCAGCTGCATGGTGATCTGCTCCATCTGCTGGGACACCCTTGCCTCCGGCTGTTTCTCCCAGCTCCCATACATCATGCCCTCAATGAATTTCACATCCCTGCTGTCAAACAACACACCCTTGGATGGTTCCCACAGCAGCCATCCCTTGCTCTCAGCAGCCAGCCCCAAATGCACACACCAGATTGCACTCGCCCCCAACTTACTGCGGTAGGTCTTGGGGACGTGGGCGACTGCCATGCAACCGAACACCCTCAGCATGTCCACCGGCGGCTTCCTCCCAAGCCACCTCTCCAACGGCACCCACGAGTCATCCCCAACCTTGGTGAGCACCCTGTTCCTAGCGACAGTGGCGTGCCGGACAGCATGAGGCCACATAGAATTGCTCAGCCCAGATTCTATGAGCAGCGCCCTAGCTGTCTCTAGAATGGTCCGGTTTGCCCGTTCTGCTACACCATTGGACTGTGGGGTATAAGCCGTGGTCAGCTCTCTCTGGATGCCCTGCTTCTTGAGCCAGGCCGTCATTTCAGCTCCAAGGAACTCACCACCCCGGTCTGTCCTAATCCGCTTCACTACACACTCCGCCTGCTTCTCCACGAATGGCAGCCAATCGTCCCGTATCGTGGAGGCGGCGTGGTCCTTCTGCTTCAGCGGATACGCCCACATCAGCCTGCTCCAGTCATCCACAATTGTAAGAAAATACCGCTCCCCCTTGTGCCCTTGCACCGGCAGCGGCCCCACCAAGTCCATGTGGACCAGCTCCAAAGGCTTCTTGCTCCTGCCAGCCACACTATGGAAAGGGAAACGGGTGAACTTTGAAAGCAAACAGATTTCACAGTTGTCATCGGGTGGCTGTCCGTTCAGCTTCAGACCCTTAACGGCTCCATCCTTCTCCAGCTGCTTCAGCAAAGGCATTGCCACATGCCCTAAGCGCCGGTGTGCCGTTGCCCAATCTGTCTCCCCAGATCTGGCCGACACTTTCACACCAACCCCTCCAACGGCATTGCACTCCCCCTGGGATGCAGACCCCTCTCCAGCCTGCCCCCCACCATGCCACGCCAGGGCCGGCAGCTGCCACATAGATCTGTACACGTCCTTGCTCTCGTGCAGATCCCAAAGCACCCGATTGCCCAGCTTCCCCTTATAAGTGCGTGCCCCATCCGTGTTGGTGTTCACCCCAGCCTTGCCAAGCTTACGGAGGGAGATAAGGTTGGCCTTCAGGTCGGGGACGAAGAGAA